AATAATAACTGTTATTCACGGTGTCTATAATATACCAATTCGCCAACTTCGTGTGAGTTTCGTCAATGAATTCTATTTTTAATAAGACCACCAACTCTTAACTCTGACCACTCCAACCCCATCCCCCTAATCTTAACCCTGTCGTAAAAGACGACAATCACACGAAAGTTGTTAAGTTGATATATTACGGACATGCACTCCTGTTATTTGCTTCGACTATTGATAAGTTCTTACTTTTAAAACCATAAGATAGAAATGTCCACCAAGAAGTAATTCTTGATTCATTGGATTATCAGCTGATTCTACTGCACATTTTTCCAGAGCGAGAGCGTATAACTTCTTGATCATAAACCTAAACACAACGGGAAAATAAAATCATGTTGTTGATCACCTCCTGTGAGAATGTAGACCAATGCGTCTTTGCTTCAGAGTAAGTGAATATCAAATAAACTATAGATCACTATAGGTACATTCATAACCTACACAATGAGGTTAAATTTGTCAAGATAAGAATCCAAATGAACACAGATGCATTTCCTGAAATAAAACAAAAAGAAATGTTATGTAACACGTATATCGTATTAGGTTAAACATATTACTTAGGATTATGCTCTCTGAGCGTGTCCACACCAGCCTTGCTGAAAATTTTGCTTGACCGCGGTGGGAATTGAACCCACGACTTTCGGTTTGCTAGTCCAATCCTCTACCAATTGAGCTAGATACGAGGTCAAGTCGGTTCGGGTGGGCTATATTTCTTAACTCAGTCTAGTTCCTTCGATATCAGTCAGTTGAAGATATACTTAGGATGATGCTCTCTGGTCATCCTCTCTTAGTGGAGTACATACTATATGGAATTACAGTATGAAATTTAAAATTTAATAAATCACGCAAAACTTTGTGACCAAATTGGGTGATGGAAAGTGCGGTTTCTGGAGGTAAGGGCCCCTAGAAAAGGTGGACAAACAACATCAGGATGAGAGTAAGGGCCCTCACCGTTATGGACCTTGAATCTCGTGTCCAGACCGGGCTTCCCCGTGGTGAAGTGACCGAGAGATGCGAAGATCAGGACGCGGGTAAGGGCCCCCGCCGTTATGGACCTTGCTCCCTTTTCCGGTGTGTGCTTCACCGTGGGTGAAGTGTGGCCGAGTGGACACCACTTTCCGCCACTGATCAAAACGAAGTGTTCTCTGGTGATCCTCTCTTAGTGAAGTGAGTACATACTATATGGAATTACAGTATGAAATTCAAAATTTTATAATTACCGAATTAAAAATTTAGCAGCTGATACATTATTATACCACTCAGGTAAACCCAACTTCACTCGAAATCTCTCACCTAAAATAATGAACAAATCAGTCAACAAATAAATACAAGAAAAATACGACAAACTAATGATGTAACTGAAGAAGTGCCACAAGACAAGTATGTATAAGTTTGAGTTGGTCACTGGATTTGACAAGTACAAATAACTGATAGATTTCATAGGATAAAAAGTGGTCATCTCAAAATTACTATCCTTTAGTTTGTGGCATTAAATATAGGTAATAGGATGGTTTTGAGTGCAATTTGGATAAAATTAACATGTACGAGTGAGTTTTCCAAATTTCAGGAGAAACCATCCTATTAGGCTATTACGTATTAATAATATACACACAAATGTTCGAGGGCTTGAAAATTTCACTCAACTATGTACGTTTTGTTAGTCTTATTTAAGGTAAAGTCTTTTCCTGCATTTAAAAAAAAAGCCATGCCTATTTTCCACTCGAACTCAACTTTTATTTGATGTAGCGCGGCCGCCATGCATGTTTGCACTGCTGTTTGACATTAACTGCACTGAAATCAACCAATGGAGTAATATTTGTATGTATATTATTAGTACAGTAAGTACCTTTGCTAAATAATTTTCAAAATATGAAGTTTAAATGAACAAAAGGTATTTCTGATATTATAGTGAGGTTTAAATTTTATTTCCACCAATTAAGGGGCCATTAATCAATCAGACGAGTTTAATCTACCCGATTAACCAATCACATGCACTAAGCCAGCGAAAGGTACTGTAATAGTAGTGGGAGTCAAATCTAAACTTCAATATTTACACGGGAAGAAGATCAGCAAGACAAGATCATGCAACAAGGTCCGTCGCAAGCCGTGCTGCAATTTTTACCACTATTATCAGTATCATGGTTTCCAATTGAAAACATACCAATATAATGTTTTTGATGTTACTCTGTGTGTATATCCACACCGGGCAGGCTGAAAAGTTAGCCTGCAGTTAGCTGAAAAGTTATCCCACCGTGGTCAGGCTGCCCGGTGTGGATATACACTCAGAGTAACATCAAAAACATTATATTCACCTGAGTACATAACACCAAAACACACACAAAAATATCATACCAATATAATTCAGAATCTTTGCTTGTGTCGTTACTTCTTTATCTTGTGCTTGCCTCAACATGGTTGCAACACAACTGAATTAGCAACATCAAAAGAACAGATTGTAATTATTATTGAAAATACGAGCAGGAAAGATCTGCATAAAAACAGGTATCACATCAATACAAGGATTACAATGATCAAAAGTATAAACTTACTCTTTTAAAAACGTGTTTGTTTCTTGATCTTTCGTAAGTTCTTTGTAAATATGTTGATCAGTTGTATCATACAAAGCCTTCAAAAATACAAATACTTCCAATCCCAATAACTCTGGAGAGTACATTATATACATTGCATCTCTAATTCTCATGTATACATGCATGCAGTATATATACTAACTGTAATACTGGTGGCTTCACAGTACAAACATGAATATGAAAACAACTTGAAACATGAGATCAAACTTGAATATTCTTTAATGAAGTAATTTACTGCGATTTCCAGGTCATATTGGAACATATTGTTTTGTGATGTTTGAACTTTGAAGATTTCAAAAAAGTTGTGGCATTCAGCGCACAGGTTGTCAAGGGATGCATGTCTTCATGTTAGAAAGGTTCTTAATTGCCCACTCCATTCTGTGTATAGGATAACTCGATGTAATTATTGTAATTTCTGGTCATTTTAAAATACAAGAGGCACAAAAATTCTTGTGCATGATGCTCTCATTTAGCAATCTTATTTTTTGTTAAAACTATTCACACTTGTTTATTTAATTCATGTTATCTTGCAAATCAAATACCTTTAATATAAACATAACTGGCATGAAAAACTGTTCTTTGTTGTAGATGAATGAAAGAGAACATGTTCCATCGGTAAGGTAGTGAAGTACCATTGTCTGAAATACAGAAGTCCTTTACATTATATTGTAGGACCTGTGAATAATTAAAATGACTGGATGGCACGGAGAACAGTGGGAAACATTTATTGAATCGTGACTGAATTCGTGGCATTGAGTGAAATCCATAAAGTCATGGAACAGAACCATAAAACCAGACGAACATAATAGAATGAATCTGGAGCATGTGAAATGAATGGCACTATCACGTGAACTACGATAAATGTTAGACTATATACAGTACACTCAATAATATAAAACTCACATTGCCTGTTTGGTCTTTCTGTACACAACGAATTTGAATTCCATATTCAGTGTATAAAGGACCACGCTTTCGCCAGGATGAACGAGTAATTGCTAGGGGCTATCAAAAGTCAAAAAGAAAATAATTTCAACAGTATCGTGTCTTGTATGAACATAAATGTATAATAATTGTGGCGTTACAACTCAGAGAATTTTTTAGATGATACTTCTCCGAATGTCTCCACACTGAGCAAGCTGAAAAATTCCCACCACATCCAAGTACTTTTTTTTCAGCTTTCCCAGTGTAGAGCCACTAGTATAGCGTCTTCAACTCAAACATTATGATCATGGCGTTAATTATCAAGTTTCTATACGCCCAAGGTATGAAACACATTTATTTACTTATTTATTTATTATGCTTTGCCAATTTCACACAATCATATCTGCACAAATACAAACACAAGAATATACAAACTATCAATCAATCAATGGCAGGGTATATGCTACAGCTTTACGCCAATTACAGCAGCCCTTACAGACACATTGACACATTCTACATTAGATCTTTACTAATGTAAAAAGGCCAGTTTGCACCCAGGAAAACCCTCCGCAGGATAGGAACGAAAGGAAAGTTACATAGTGCTAAAGTCGTTAGTTCCAACGCCGTCCGCTCCTGCGGAAAGACATGGTACCAGACCACGTGTCGGCGAGCTGCCTTTGAGTCACAGTAAGTAAAAGTAAGCCTGCCATTGCAAGTCAAGAACAGGATTTACTTCGCTTGATTGAAAAGGCAAGCTTGGAAAACGCATGATTGTATAGCCAAGTTGAGTTTGGTTGGTCCACTCCTCCGGGTCTTCGCGAAAAACTAAATATTAGGCATTGATCTAAATATAACTAACTAACCCCCCAAAACATTTATCAATTATTTATAAAACCTGTCAAAGCTTTCCATCCACCTCAGAGTCCAGAAACATGCTAAACTAAACTAGATCTAGTTGCTTTCTGATACAGCAGTTAAACGTTTTACAAGCGTCGTATTTGATTAGCGTTTAATACATACGTAGTTCCTTCTAGGCAGCACCAACATTCGAACAACTTTTTCAATACCATTAATAATGAAATATCCTCCACCTTCCTAAAATATAGACAAAAGCCTGTGATTTAAAAAAATCAAGTACTTTTATTTGGGTTTATTCAGGTAATTGAATCCCTCCCAATCCGCAGTTTTCTGATCCTATATACCTTAGTGTAGGATTGTTTCCATACTATAGTTGCTCACCTTCAATACTGAATACAAAATGCCGAAATTTCCTATAAAAAAACCTTGCTTCCACCTTGTACGCAACGAGTACCTATTTTTAAAGTAGAAGCGCCATTTTGTTTTGTTGACGCACGATGTTAAATGCTCCATTTTGTTTTGGTGACGTACATATCTACGTCAGTACGTATCATTACGTATATACAATACCTAGAGTATATAGAACTAACAAAACCCAAATTGAATCTCCACCCCATGGCAAACCCAAAGCGAATCTCTATCCCATGGCATGGGTAATCTCAGATTACCCATGCTCTCCGATTACCCATGCCATGGGATAGGGGACTACTGCAGCAGATTGCATGCATTCTTCTGTGATATATACCTCACTAATAGACCCTTATGAGTGAAATTTTGATCTAGATATGCCTGGACAACAATCATCACAGCTTGAAAGAGCATCACAAAATTAGTAATATTCCGAAATTTCGTTGCGAAATGTTGTAAATGCGGATAGTATAGCCTTGCGAAGTTTGCCGTTTTTCAGTCATTTTGTATTACAAAATGGGAAATTGATAATCAGTTTGATCATCTGATTATCAATTTCCCGTTTGTAATGCAAAATGACTGAAAAACGGCAAACTTCGCAAGGCTATATTATCCGCATTTTACAACATTTCGCAACGAAACTTCGGAATATTACTAATTTTGTGATGCTCTTTCAAGCTGTGATGAAATTTTTGTTCAGACTTGTCTAGATCAAAATTTCACTCAAAAGGGGAAAAGTCTATTGAAAAGAACTTTAACTGACCTCAGCTTCTTCATGATTAGCAACTAGATCCTTTGGTCCCAAACCAAACAACGAACAACATTTGGACTAAAACAATATACACACATCATGGCATACTGAAATCTATGCATCAGATTTTGTCCAAAGGAAAAAACAAGCTAACTTATGACATATAGGAAGCAACTGGCTAGTAGTTGCATTCTACAAACAGATCTATTTCATCACTAAATGAGTCAATATTAATAAAATGTATAGATTGTACATATTAAAGAGTACAAGTTACAACATGTAACAAAATTAATGATAATCATGATGCTAACTACAGTACCTTCACCATTATTGGAAGCATTGCTATGACCTTGGCCACATTTCCACAAATCTGGTTATTAACCTTCCATTGGATAGAAACCTGTAATTTAGCACTGTATGTCGTGCCTCTCTGTCGACACTAATAAATATACAAACATGAGATAAACAATAGGGTCGGTCCCTATACCTGTATGAACAGACTTTGTGATTGGTTGATTATGACAATAAAATACAACAAACAATAGAAATTATATTTCAAAAGAACGAGTCATAACAACTGATCACTTTTGTTTCAGAAAACCAATCACAAAACGTGTTCATATTAGGGAGGTACAGTACTTACAAAGACACAATATTTTCGTTGATCATTAACTTGTTACCTCCGCTGGAAATATTCTCAGTGATTTTGAATGAATATTTCCTTCTGGCACCATTGGTGTTCCAATACTTGCATCCTGCGAAGCATGGAAAGCTTGTGTTACATCACTTTAAATATTACCTTATTGAACTTTTTCAAGTACGTCAAGCACACACCGCATGCAATGGACAACTTGCATGTCAGACTAAATTTTAATCTAAGTAAAGAGAAGGGAAACAAACACCACAGTTAAAAAGAACATAATGAAATTAGTAAAATTGCAAAATTTGGTCGCGAAATGTTGTAAAGCTTGGAAAATATAGCCTTGCGAAGTTTGCATATTTTCAGTATGTTTGTATCACGTGCGGAAATTGTTACCATTTTCAGCTCAAAAATGGTAACAATTTCCGCACGTAATACAAACATACTGAAAATATGCAAACTTCGCAAGGCTATATTTTCCGTATTTTACAACATTTCGTAACCAAATTTTGCAATTTTACTAATTCTAATAAGTTCTTTACGGGAATTTACTCTTTTTTTTGCCTAGATAAAAAAATAGTCTAACATGCAAGTTGTCTATTTGTAGGGTCGATTTCTGCATCATTTCACTGAATGTTTATGACGAATATTTTCAGTTGATGACGTCATATTTGCAACTATATTGCTTTATTATGCTCACATGCTGACAGTGGATACCTTGAGAAGTATATTGATCCAGCCCTAGGACGTGATCCAAAACTTATTCACACCTACGACTGGATGAAAATTAATTACTTATGAGTACGATATGTCTTTTCAGAACCTCAAATCTTCGCAGTAAGCTCAATCCTCGGCTTTGCTTTGGCTCTGCCTCGGACTGGAGGAACAAAATACTCGGACAAATGTCATCCGGTCCCTATTTTTTATTACATCTAGAATTATATCCAAGTTTAAAATAAATCGACCCGACAAATTGCAATGTTTAAGGGGACCGCTCATTATTTATACCCTACATACACAGCCAGAAATCTCACAGGCCTGTCGCAAGCTGTTGATTTTACCGGCTTGCGGCAAGTTGTCAACAAGTCGCGACAGGTCTGTTGGTTTCGTCAGGCGGTAACAGGCTTGCGGTAACAGGTCTGTCGCAAGCTGTTGACAACAGAGCCGTAGCGACTTGTTGAAACAACCCGCTACAAACCTGTTACTAACAAGAGATAACAGGTCTGATAGAACAACTTGCAGCAAGTCTGTTGAAATCAACAGGTCTGTTACAACCTGTTCCAACAGACCTGTCGCGAGTTGTTTTTGTCAAGTCTGCAGCAAGCTTGTTATCAGACCTGCGACAAACCTGTCCACAACAAACAATTTTTGTCCTGTCACAACAAGTTTCAACAAGCCTGTTGTAGGGAAACAAATCGAAAATGTGAGTAAAGAGATATAAAATCGCACGAAATGGACACTTCCGGCTTCACTTTCTCATTTAATCATTGTCATTGGTGGCGATATTAAATCACATTGGAGAGATTATAGTCCATAGTATCTATTCTCTGATTATTATAAAATGCAAAAGCCGCTGTTTTATTTTTTTTAAAAAAGTTCCGATTTCCAAAATCCAAATTCCAATTTGCTGACGTGTGCTATCGCTATATTTCTTTAATCTGATTGGATAAACGCGTGTGCACACGTCATCATTCCTCGTTGCAATTGGGCGAAATATTACAAACATATCAATCACGTAATCATGTTTAGTTGTTTTTGAATTTTGAGCCAAACAAAATTTCAACAACTGCCTCAAACAAAATCAAACAAGTTCAAAGCTGTTTTGATTTTTGAAGAAACTGTACTAAGCAATGAGAATACAAGATCTAGAGCTTAAGAAATGAACAATACATGAACAACCGAGTGTTCACTGCAACGTTCGTCATTGCTGATATGAACATGAAATTCGTTATATAATTTCTTTCCAATTTCAAGTGAAATCTGCGAGCGAGGAAGACGCCTTATTGAAGCTTTGTGTTTATGGTATGTACTGTTTTGAAGAAAAATATGCAAGTAGGTTGTCATATTTCGGTCGTACTTCAAGACAAATAATTTTGAAAATTGTTTACGATAAGAACCTTTCTTGAATTTGTCGTATTTTTTTGGCTGTTTTGCTCAAAAATTATTTCGCAAGTTTGTTTATAAAACTTTATATTCATATATAAAAATCATCTCGCAAGTTTGTTTATAAAACTTTATATTCATATATAAAAATTATCTCGCAAGTTTGTTTATAAAACTTTATATTTCAAACTTCTATTTCACGAAACACTACAACCGAAATATGGCAACCTGTTTTGCCGTTTTTTGTTCAAAATAGTGGATAGACAAGCTTCATAAGGCGCTTTCCTCGGTTTGCAACAGGTCTGTCGCAAGTTGTTGAAAACAGCATTGCTGCAGCTCTGTGCCACAGAATAGGAAGTTATACCAGAAGCGTAACTCGAGCAAATATTTGTCCGCGTTTTTACAAGCGATTCGTCATCAATCACGCCATCCTGGCTAGTACAACCGGCACTTTGTACCTACCAAATCCTGATAAAAACTTCCGGCTGTACTAGCCAGGATGGCGTGGCCTGACGTGAGCGAGTTAAAATTTTCGTGGACGTCAAACAATAAGGAAACGACTAGAGTTACGCTTCTGGTATAACTTCCTATTCTGT